GTAGTAGTAGTAGTAGTAGCAGTAGCAGTAGCAGTAGCAGTAGCCGTAGCAGTAGCAGCAGCTGCAGCTATTCGACAAGCAGAGACCCCTCGACGTATGCCGCTGCTTCAGTTGAAGACAAACCTCAGAACACAGAGCCCTGTTCCCGTCGCCTGCCTCGACGAAGGCCACGCATGTGGCAGAGAGGTCAGAAAAGAAGCCTGGACACTTCCACAAGCTTCCATAGATAACTCCCACTTCATTGGTGCAGGAAGTGAATCTAGGCCGGACGATGTTGCCTTCCATCACGACAGAGACAGCAATTGTCATCATATGTCAGAAGACGCTGCATGCCGAAAGCATCCAAGTAACTCACATTCTCCATGGTGCCATAGCCTGCAGAGTCGATCGTAGACAGATTTGTCTGAATCTTCAAATCTGGATCAAGAAATATCTGTCCATCTCAGCTTGTGCATCTGGGAAGCAAGCTTGGGTGGCGCTGCTGACGGCAGTCAACGCGTCTTGTCTCCTTTGCACCTCGTCAGGGGGCTTTGTTTATGTCAGAGGCGTAAGGCAATCGAACTTCGCGATTCCGAGCTTGTGGTTTCGTGTCTGGCAGCTACTTCCAAAGCAACGCCGAATCTTCGACCAAACCCAGATCAATGCCGCAGCCTGCTGCCTAGCTGCTGGTACCACCAGTGTCATGCGGAAGAGCTCTACTGCACGGCCAGCTCTCAAAAGCTGCTGGACAGCTTCGCGCATGGCTGGACAGGGGCTTTACGTCCCAGATAGATGCGCAGACTACACAGCATTCGAGAAAGAGCAGGTGCACGTATGTTTGTGTACATCGTACGTGAAACCATACAAAAGTGCATGCATGCATGCATGCACCCATAGACTCCATAGATCTATCGATCTATCTTGCTACATATATAATTGACTGTACATAAATCCAAGCGACGTCATCACCTAAAAAACAGTTCCAGTCCGAACCAAGCTCAAGATCCCGATTTCAGGTTGATGGCCCTATCTCTGCTCCTTGATCATCGGCAGACAAAACTGTAGTTAATTCATGTGCTCAAGGTCGACAGTGCAATCTTGGACCTGGGAGAGAGCGCGACGTATGGAGGCTCTCCCAGGAGTAAGGAGCAAAAGCTCGAGGAATGCTCCGGATCCTTTTGACAGCCGTTCTTCGACCAGCTAAGGGGCTGATGTGAGCTGAGGTGAGGTCTGGCCGACATAACCGATTTCGATGGTAGCACCTGTTTGGAAGCCTGGATCTTCCGCTCACACACAGCCCCGCACCTCCTTTGACCGGAGAGTTCACATTTACCTTGCATCCGTGCCTATGGCAGACAGAGCGTGCGAAACTAAGCGCCCTGGGCATCTCGCGTTCATCGGGCTCCGGCTGTCTCTGCTCATGCGCAAACCTAAGAGTAGTCTCATCCCCTGTCCCCCGGAAAACTTTGTGAATCATTTCGTCGACGGCAGGACTTAAAAAGACCGGTGAAGCCCACAGGTGCATGGATGCCCTCGCGACGTCATTAACATCTGCCGCGGGTGAATTGCCTTTGATGGGTTCCTCATGCCGACAAGCTTATGATCTGCTGTGGGCATTCTCAGGATGCTGCCAACTAAGGGACGAAGCCTGCACAGAACCTGATGTCATATGCCTACAACTCATGACAAGGATGTTGTTGAGCCACAAGAGTCTCATCGGTTAACGCATCAAAAGCGGCAATGTCCCATGACTGAAGCAGCCCTACAGAGTGCTTCAGAGGCAGGCCGAACTCAGTGAGGATCCGTGGCGGCTGCCTGCAAACGCGCCCAACGTGATGACGTAACACCGCTCGCCGTCCATCACTTTACCGAGCTTCCGAAGCTGGAAGAAGAAGAAAGATGCGAGCATAGCTCGACAGTTCAAGCTGCCGCCTAGAAGTGCAGCATTTCGTCATCCAGAGTCCCGCCGGCAGGGCTTACCTTCGAGCGTTTCGATGGTGACTCCGGGAAGTGGCTTACTTGACTCAGATCAGGGCAAAAAGCGTCCGCTATCTTGGTATCAGTGTTGGAGGTTGCTCAACGCCGTGTTCATACTTACAGTCGGTTGCAGTATCACCTTCATTGCCCGTGCCCATGTTGTTCGCGCATTCTCTGTCTCATGCTACTGCTGCTTCGCCTACTACTACTACGACTGCTGCTGCTGCTGCTGCTGCTGCTGCTGCTGCTGCTACTGCTACTACTACGACGACCACTACTAGTACCTGCGGCTGCTCCTACTGCTACTGCTACTGCTACTACTACCACTACGACGACGACAACAACAACAACTACTACTGCTACTACTGCTGCTACTACTACTACTACTGCTACTACTACTACTACTACTACTACTACTGCTACTAGTCGTACTACAGTACTTGTACTGCTACTACTCCGACTATCGCCGCTACTACTGCCGCTACTTCTGCCACTACTACCACCACCACTACCACTACCACTACCACTACCCCTATACCACTACCACTACCACTACCACTACTGCTGCTGCTGCT